TATTTAAACTTGCTTAAGGAATAAAAAGCATACAAACAATACCGTGAATTAATAAATGTAGGTAGAAGCTAAATGGAGCAGGCAGCCTGTTTCAGCAGATTTTCCTACTTTCATATATATTTTTCATTATTTTTGTTTTTAGTATTCTTATACACTTTTCTAAAGTCAACATTTGTGTGTCCATTTTTGCTGCTGTAAACACCAGAATTCCCCCATTGTGGGACAATAAAGGGATTTTCTATTCTATTTATTATCATTTCCAAATATTTCAGTATTTTCTATTTTTTATTCTATTTATTTCTGCCTGTCCTCTTTTATTTCTGTATCTATTTTGCCTCATTATGCCAGTTCAGAGGGGGGGGTCTTAGTGGGAGGGCTTCTGCCTATTGGTTGGTCAGACTGCATAGAACCTACATGCTACCAAAGCAGCCACAGTCATGACAAGTATGGCTAACTTACATTAGGTTATCTTTGGCAACTTTATTTGAAAGCTGTAATTCCTGACTTTGTCATGTGGACAGACATCTATCAGCTGCACTCACAGACACAGATTGACAGTTTACTGCCAAACCAGTTATCTCTGACAGAATGGCAGCTCTGTAGGAAGTACACATTCAGCAGGGGGACTGAATCCACCTTTATTTCCTGTCAACAACGAAATGGTGTTTACATTTTGTTTAGAATAGAAGGCTGCTATTACCTGAAATTTCAGTGGTTTACAAGAGAAAATTATGTGTATTGTGAAACTGCACTGGTGGATATCTCCAAAGGTTTTTCTAACGTGAGGGTAATCATGTCTATTTAAACTCGCCATACAATCACTCAAGCTTAATATACCACTAATCAATATACCACCAATGCAATGTGCCTGAGGAAATTATGTTTTCTGACCGTTGAGCATCTCCAGAAAATCTGTCTGCTGAATCCAAAAATTCCCAAATTAACCTTAATGAGGTCACTGTACCGCTCTATCTGCTCTGATGGTATATCACTTCTTTTTTTTTTTATAAAGTTTCTAAATGGCTCAGTGATGCATCACAGTCACAGCCTGCTTCCCTGTGACTGAGGTCTGGTAGCATGTACAGGTGCTGGTCATAAAATTAGAATATCATGAAAAAGTAGATTGATTTCAGTAATTCCATTTAAAAAGTGAAACTTGTATATTATATTCATACATTACATACAAACTCATATATTTCAGATGTTTATTTTGTTTAATTTTGATGATTACAAATGACAACAAATGAAAATCTCAAATTCATCATATCAGAAAATTAGAATATTGTGAAAAGGTTCAAAATTGATGGCCCCTGGTGCCACACTCTAATCAGCTAATTAACTCAAACCACCTGCAAAAGCCTTTAAATGGTCTTTCAGTCTAGTTCTATAGGCTACACAATCATGGGGAAGACTGCTGACTTGACAGTTGTCCAAAAGACGACCATCGACACCTTGCACAAGGAGGGCAAGACACAAAAGGTCATCGCTAAAGAGGCTGGCTGTTCACAGAGCTCAGTGTCCAAGCACATTAATAGAGAGGCGAAGGGAAGGAAAAGATGTGGTCGAAAAAAGTGTACAAGCAAGAGAGATAACCGCACCCTGGAGAGGATTGTGAAACAAAACCCATTCAAAAATGTGGGGGAGATTCACAAAGAGTGGACTGCAGCTGGAGTGAGTGCTTCAAGAACCACCACACACAGACGTATGAAAGACATGGGTTTCTGCTGTCGCATTCCTTGTGTCAAGCCACTCTTGAACCACAGACAGCGTCAGAAGCGTCTTGCCTGGGCTAAAGAGAAACAGGACTGGACTGCTGGTGAGTGGTCCAAAGTCATGTTCTCTGATGAAAGTAAATTTTGCATTTCCTTTGGAAATCAAGGTCGCAGACTCTGGAGGAAAAGAAGAGAGGCACTTCATCCACGTTGCTTGAAGTCCAGTGTAAAGTTTCCACAGTCAGTGATGGTTTGGGGTGCCATGTCATCTGCTGGTGTTGGTCCATTGTGTTTTCTGAGGTCCAGGGTCAACGCAGCCACATACCAGGAAGTTTTAGAGCACTTCATGCTTCCTGCAGCTGACCAACTTTTTGGAGATGCAGATTTCATTTTCCAACAGGACTTGGCACCTGCACACAGTGCCAAAGCTACCAGTACCTGGTTGAAGGACCATGGTATCCCTGTTCTTAATTGGCCAGCAAACTCTCCTGACCTTAACCCCATAGAAAATCTATGGGGTATTGTGAAGAAGATGCAATACACCAGACCCAACAATTCAGAAGAGCTAAAAGCCACTATTAGAGCAACCTGGGCTATCATAACACCTGAGCAGTGCCACAGACTGATCGACTCCATGCCACGCCGCATTGCTGCAGTAATACAGGCCAAAGGAGGCCCAACTAAATACTGAGTGCTGAACATGCTCATACTTTTCATGTTCATACTTTTCAGTTGGCCAACATTTCTATAAATCCTTTGTTTTTATTGGTCTTCAGTAATATTCTAATTTTCTGATATGATGAATTTGAGATTTTCATTTGTTGTCATTTGTAATCATCAAAATTAAACAAAATAAACATCTGAAATATATGAGTTTGTATGTATGAATATAATATACAAGTTTCACTTTTTAAATGGAATTACTGAAATCAATCTACTTTTTCATGATATTCTAATTTTATGACCAGCACCTGTAGACTCCATGCAGTATAACAAACCAGTAAGCACAGGTTTTGCCCTCAAGACCAGGAAATCAATAGTTCACCAGATCAGCTTTGAGTCATTTTTCAGCTCAAGAGGATAAAAAAAAAAAAAAAACATAATTTGTAAAGTGCCTTGAGCCGGCATTTGGGGAATTGATGCTACATGAATAAATTGAATTGGTATTTTATCTGTAGTTACCTGCGATGAGAGCTAATAAGACTAAACAATAAAGTCTTAATGTCTTTCTGGTTTGGGTTTATATAACAAATATAGAACCTTGAAAATAACTACCTTTTTAAAGTTGATTCTGAGTGAGATTGCTGCATTGAAACAACTTCTAAATACTCTTAATGCACCTTCAAACACCTACAGTGACGTGGCTATATATTAATTAGCAGGTCAGCCAGCTCTTTATATACTTTGAGATTCATTGATACTTTAAGGACAATAAACTTGACATATTTTGTGCAGATCCAATCAACACCACAATGAACTGTCTCTCTGCTTCATTGATGGGCGTTAAGCACTCAAATCTGTTAAGTACCTTTATTTCGAGCTTAAACTTTTATTTCTACTATAATAACTAGAACTAAAGTAATACTAGTTTTTGAATAAATGGATCCTAAAACATATAAAGTATGTCTACAACCATTTCAAAGCCTAGGAAATAATAAAATCAGAGGCCTACTTCAGCAGTGGGGTTAGGGCAGTCACTGTCCAGGACATATCAATGGTATCCAGTGTATGAAATCTCAACACTTCAAATCTAACATGCCACTAAGCATGTGGTGTTTTTAGGCAGAAATAAACTGCCATGGGTGGCTGCATGCTCCTAAAGCTGAGACAGTTTGACATTTGAACACATAATGGCAGAGTGGATGTAGCTGTCCATTAATTCCTGAACAGGTTTAAGAAAGTCAATTTATTTACTTATTTTTTTAGACTTGCAGGTTCTTGTAAGGGTACTGGGGTGGGGGTGGGGGAACTGGTGCCTACCTCCAGGGGTCACTGGATAAGATGCTGCTTTCCTCAGGACAGATGGCTCCATCACAGGGCAAGAGAGACAATTCAGACTTTGCAGCCATATTTTGGGAGAGTGCAATAACCGGAGAGCCCACAGACACACTGGTAGAGGAAGCAAACTCCACTTAGCTTTCTATTAGAAACTTTTTCACCTATTTTTTTTATTTTTTAATTGTCTTTGTGATCGTTTTTTTTTTTTAAAGTCATGTCTGATGAATGCCTCAAATAAATAAGCAATTAAATCTGATAACAAATTTAAATAAACTTAAACTGTGTGAATAAATTACTGGATGTGTGAAGCTACAAGGATAAGATTGATATAAAAATGAGTAAACATTTCCTAAAGGTGTATTTGCTTTTAATTATAGCAGATAAATCAAATAATATATTTTTGCCCTTGAAGTAAACTAATTTGATACTATGCACTTATAAGATAATGGAGTTATTTCTTATTTTAAACGGCAATCATATTATTTAGTTTATCTGTTTAAATCAAGGAAAAAATACACGTAATTGACCCAATTAAACTTTTTTCTGTGTCACTGGAATGTTATTACTTGGAAAGTTTAGAGTATCACTGTTCAGGAGCATTTAACCAAATATTTATGCTTTATTGACCATATAAGATGCCTTCACAGAGGTAAACAGAAACAGACAACTGATATGCTTGAAATGGAAAAAAGAAAACCCACATTTTATTGCACTTAAGTTATAAGAAAATAAAATTCTAAGTAAATCAAACAAATACACAATCCCTTTCAGGTTTTTTTGTCTGTTTTTCGTTTCTTTTTTTTTGCCAGGCAGTTTTACATGAACTGAACAAAATAAAAACACCTGCGACAAATCTGATTTCTCAAACCAGATCATAAATTAAAAACAGACGAAGAAAACAACGAGAGGAGATAGAGATCGTATTCTTTCTCTCTTTTTTTTTTTCTTTTTAATATACAGTGTTATACCACTTTCACAGTTCAGCTCGAGTTGTGACTCCTGGAGAGTGAGACGACTTGTTTGGCTACAAGGTTTCTGTCCATGACGGCTGCAGGGATTTTCATGCGCAGCACATGTAACACTAAGACGCTCTGCAGCCCGACCTGTCAGTTGATGCTTGTGGTGGTCTCCTCTGTTGCTTCAGACACCTCTGAATGGGGGGGAAAGAAAAAAAAGAAAAAAAGAAAAAAACAGTCTCTCTCTCTCTCTCTTACACACACACACACACACACATACAGACAGTTCTCTCTTAAAATCAATACATCTGCTAGTTTGATTTACTTTTTAACCTCTTTTTTGTTTGTTTTTTGAAGCCAGTCCAATGCAGCATTTGTACAATTTCCCAAAGAACAGGCTGGAAAAGCTTTGTCCCGAGGAATGTGTTTACAAGTTGCCCGCTAACACACATTAACACACACACACACACACACACTCATGCACTCAGAACACACACACACTCCAACAGTGTTTACAACCCACCCCCCCCACACGTCTCGCTTCGATCTCCGCAGACGAATCCTGTCAGCTTCTGTCCGACGCCCTTCCTCCTTGCAGCCTCAAACGTAGAGGCACGTTTGGCTCAAGTTTCAGTGGCAAAAAAAAAGACAAAGGAAAAAAAAAGTTGGATGGTAAAAATGTCCTGTTTTGTTTTTTATTTTTCTAAGTCCAGACGTACATAGTCCGATTGGGAATATCGCCTGTGGACTAAAACGTCACAGCACGTAGAAGCTCCACTTCTCTGGTTCCGGTTCCTCTAGCAGCATAAAATTCGGTTTGGCCACTCGGGGTGGGGTTAAGTAGGTGGGGGGGCTCTATAGCTTTCCTCTGGTTTCTGACCAAACCACCAGAGCTGGACAGCACTGACGTTCAAGTGGAGACAAACATGTAGGAGGTAACAAAAACCTGCGACAAAGACGGCATCTGGGAACTGGATGGGTTTCTCTAATACTGAGATTTTGCGTGAAGCAGAAAACAAACAAAAACAACCTCTTCAGATACTGAAATTCACAGTTGTGCTTGTGTGGAGAAATTTAAAGTCTACTGAAACCGAGTGGAGAACAATTAGAACGGAAATGGAGTGACAAAGAAACAAGCCCGGGTCGGAGGCCTGGGCGCTCCGAGCACTTCCTTTCTCCCCACGTCGTCGAGCAGCTCTTCGGGAGTAACTGCGTGGAGATTCATCTCCTATATGCTCCACAGTCTTCTACCTTCGCCCGCTTTCCTGCTGGCCATACGATGAGTGTAAGTGTATGTCTGTCTGTGGGCACGCTCTGACAGGAGGGAGGGGGCTTTAAAAAATAATATATCTCTGTACAACTGGAAATCTGTCAGACTGGAGCCAAGCTGGGTCTCTGTGCGACGCTGGCCCAGGACCCAACAGGTGGAGGGTCGCCTCTACAGGATCCCACTCGTTGAATCTCTCCCAGCCACAGCGGCTGCGGCCTCCGCCCCCAGTTTCCAGCCCGATCCCCCTCCGATTCACCTTAATCGATGGGAAGAGGGCTGAACACTTAGGGAACTGTGTGTTTATCAGTAACATGAACTCGAAGTGGGAGACGTGGGTAATAAGAGAGGACAGCAAAGCCCGCCGTCTGTGATTGTAGACCTCAGTGAGTTTGGGTGAAGAGTTTTGGGTGTCGGCCCTCTGGTTTCCAGGCACCGCTGCTCCCGTTCCCTCTCTCTTCTTCCTGCGGATCGTTTTCTTTCTTCATCTGTCCTCGGCGTGTCCTGCTCCTCTCACTTCATGTCCACATCAAAGTCCAGCACCAGCAGCTTGGTTTCCTCTGTGCCGTTGCGACTGCCCACTGCACACACCAGCTTGGTGTTTGACGCTCGGATGCGCCACACCACCCCGCCGCTGCCGCCGCTCTCCAGGGTCACCAGGTTCCGGATGAACTCGCCCGTCTTCAGGTCCCACAGTTTGACCGTGCCGTCGTCAGAGCTGGTGATGACAAAGTTCTTGTTGAACTGTAGGCACGTCACGGCGCTCTGGTGCTTGTGAGGACCTGAAAGCACAAAGATGGGGGGGGGGACAAAAAATACCCGTCATCAGGCTGGTACTGCAGAAACAATAAAGGAAGAACATTTCACATCCAAAGGATTCACTTACAAAAAGATTATCCATTGTTTTTTGGCATCATTTATTTTTCCTTTTTATCAAATAGACAGTTTTACAATATCTAGCTGTGGCAAAGCCAGCAGATGCAGAAGCAGCACCGCTGTAGTGAACATTTCAGGAGGCACCGCTCATAGTTTCAGCAAAATCTCAGCAAGAGAGTTGGAATCACTGTGATGGTTTAAGTGTTTATTGCTTAAAGAAAAGGCTTGTTTTACACATGTGTTCAAAGCTTATAGTTATTCCCTAACAGTATGTTTAAACCCCATTTGATGGCTGGAACTTTCCAACAGTATCACAGGAGAAAGGTTGATGTGGAGCTTTCATTTCTATCTCCAGATGTTATAGGAAGCTTTATGTTAGGAATGGCTGGTTTCCTCATAAAACTGCTGACGCATTGATCTCATCTCAGCTGTAATTCATGTTGCTGAGATGCTGCAGCCTACAGAGGTTCCTCCAGCTGTTTTGGGTCTGGTTCATAAGGCGCTTTGGTCCAACTTTGTTTCGACGTTTTCTTTAAAGAAATTCATACTGACTTGAGTGCAGAGGAGTAGCCCAATTTCTTAAAAAAAAATCACTTAAGTCATAAATGATGATATATTGTTCATATGAGCAGCATATACCACTTTAAAAAGATTTACCATATTTCATAGTTCATTCTCACAGCGCTGCATTCTATAAATGGGTTAGCTGTACAACGTTAAAGATATAGTGGAGGATTTTCACAAATTTTTTAAAAGACCGCACTCTCAACTTAAAAAAAAATAATAAGAAAATGCACATACACAACCTTTACCCGCTCGCGAGAGGAAATGTCTATTAAACGTGTGCAATAGCATGCACAAGCCCTTTTCTCCTCGTGCACGCTCTGTTTAAAAGTTACTGTTTTAATCGCTCATAAAAGCTTACTTTCCAAAAGATTTGCAATTTTTCCAATATGCCAGACTCACCACGGGTAAGTGAATAGGATATATCACTAGAATGATCAACAATTAGGAGGACCACTATTTTTGATGATCCATCCAGAAAAAGAACTTCCTCCACTATACCTTTAAGCGTTAGTGAGCATCATCATGGGTTTATGTTTTATCTAAAATTTAAGCCAAAAAACATCCTTTTAGCACCTATTATGATAGTTTTAGGAATTGAGTTACATTTTTAATTTAAACTTAATGATGCTATGCTATTTAGCTCCAGCTGATGTTATTAACAGATACCTGAAGTGTTACAGCAACAGCACATTGGGAACAGAATGCAGGCTTTTTGGAGGTTTCTTAAACTGTGTAGCTTAATGGAATCACTCTCAACGTGGAAACCTTCCAAACAGACTCTGATATGAAAGACAACAGGAGCTGAGCAGGACAACATGATAACATGAGCCCTGAATGCTCTTACAGCGTTTGTTAATTTAGGTTGACTTCCCGGTCTGGACTATTCTTCATCTGTGAGGGAGGTGAAAGACGCTTTGGTTGAAAGATGCTTTTGTGTTTTTCCTTCCTTAATACTAAAAGAAAAGTTCAACATTTGCTTTTCCAAGATCATCTATGGCGACCTAAGGTGAACACAGAGATGTTCTAGCTGCTGTGATTAGAGCCAAAGATGGTGGCTGTCAATGTTTCCACTGCAGGTTAATCAGGGTTTATGTAGGTTTATCTTCTATCTTCTATTTTATGAGGGAAAAAAAACAAAAAACTTTTTGACCTCTGAAGTTCAATTCAAAATAAAAGCAGCTGCTAAATGAAATCAACCCTTCAGTAAAGCAGCAAATGATTCTTCCTTCTGTAGGATAACTAATTGAACATTTACTAGCATCTGACTGGTTGAGCTGAATCTGGTCTTAACACCTAACATCCAACACCTAAGCTGGGGCATTTCAGTCCCACAATTTGGGACACTGGATTGACAAAACATTACCTGAGAAAAACTGTTTATACTAGAAAGTTTTATTGAATTCTATGAGTCTTAAACCAAACTGGACAGTAAACTGGAGGCTTTTTGGACAGGTCAAATTTCAGCCCTTATTCACCTGCAGAGGAAAGTATCATGAAATAAAAACATAATTAATAGCAGGTATTTCTACAATTGTTCACCTTTAATAAGAAACAAGCACATATGTTTGGACAGCTGGACAAAAAACAGGGAGACAGGTGTAGAAAAGATGGACAGATGGATTGATGTTAAAAGACAGATTAGATGAATGGATGGTAGGAAGGCCAAACAATACTGGGGGGTAGGGGGTGGGTAATGCTAGACTCGAGAAATAACTTTAATCACCGGTAAATGAAACATTCCATCATAAATTATTCCTATAGAATATTTTCTGTTTGCATACTTATTCAGATCTGGAAATGTTCTGAATCGAATCCTTTACTTCTGACTGTCTAGGAAAACTTATGACCTAATTCGATATATATTGGATATTAAAATCAATATTATAAAAATACAAATTTACAAAATATTTAGAGAAATCTTCCAGAAATGATTGATTTTCTGTCTGGTTTGGGTTCAAAGGTCTCATTCCTTTAGCACCAACCCCCACCATGTGCGGCTCTTCACTGACACAACAAAGCAACCTGCTTCATCATTAGCTTCTCCCTCCTCCCAACACACGGATGGCCTTGTTGAACCTCTATTGTCTCATCAAAACAGACTGATGAATGGCGGGAATCATCCTCTGACCTAATTATGTGACCTACAAAGATCAGCAGCCCTTTCCTGCTCGACTCTCTTCACCACGGCCAGCATTTATCCTCCCCCCTGACTCGTCTCTTCAGGCTCTCACTGGGGCTTCCTTTTGTTCAGATGCTGTGTACTGGCATTTGGAGAGCCAGCACACAGACTTGCAGTTTCCTAATGAGGGTATTTGGGGACAGGGCACCAGTTGCTGCCTCGTCTATTCAGGAAGAGAACATTGTACTTACTATGAGATGTTAATTCCTGGTAATTGAGACAAAGCTATTCAAATGTTTACAAAGGAAACAAGAATGTAACCAGCAAAAGGAAGCACATAAGGATGTTTAGTATCTGAGTGAATGTGCAGCTCTATGAGTGCAGCAGCATCACAGACTTTTTACTATCCGACTCTTTTAGTCATCTAACGGAGCAGGTTACTACCTTACTGCTCCGCTCAACAATTCAAAAAGCTTTTCTTTGGATAAAGGCTATGGGATCCAGTTCCAGGGGAGCGCTGGGTCCAGGTAAGACCTGGGCTGGTTATCTAAAACCTGTGAGCCACACAAAAAAATCATGACTGTAAGCATCTGATCTTCAGTTGTCTTTATAGTCCAATATATTATATATAACGTAAAAAAAAAAAAATCTACAAACATGGAGGGATTCTGGTTCTTAGACGGTAAGTGGACTTGGTTATTAACTTTCATTGTAAACCTACACCAAGGCAGATATAGTCCTAAATCTACATTTTTACTATTATTTCTCACATATTCCAACAAAAAGGGGAATCATTTCACAAATGGACAATCATCAATATCTGAAGCGGCATCTTTAGTCTAGTTATTTCCCCTCAATCACAGAAATAATTTTAGAATCATCTTCTCCCTACTGACTGGAATTACGATCAATGTTTTGGAGCTGCCTGAGGTCCCAACTTAAATCTGACAGAAAATCTGCAGTGAGCTGAACATTAGAGTGATGTACGGAGGCCTTCCAGTTTCAAAGACATCTTAAAAAGACCAGAGGAAGCACACAAATAGCTGCACAACAACCACAAGAACTGGTTTTAGGTTGTAATGCATTTTATTTTCTTCCAGTTGATACCATTTCAACTGCATTCAATCTGTCCGTTTTGAGAAACAGAACAAAAATTCAGAACTAAATAAAACAAACATCTTGGATAGACGAAAACTTTAAATCCAAATCATTCAGCAGTGTAAATATGAATAAATAATCTTTGGGCATCGATGTTAAGATTTAAAATCTAAAATTGTACTAGGAGAGAAAAGCTGGTAAGACATCCTGGTAAAGTCAAATAAAAACCACTGCAGAGCAAAGTAGTTTCACTGCCATTAAATCAGCAGTAAAAAGATAACAGTTAAATAAAAACGACGATGGTACAATAGAAAGAGTGGATAGACCATCTATCTGAGATCTTTATCTGCAAAAGCCTAAAGCTAAAGGACTATAAGCTTGCAGACTGAAGTTTTTGTTTACTCATTGAAATACATTTTATCCTTCAGACATTTGCCAGCATCCCTGCTTGTTTTCCTGACGATGAGCTGCACAAATATTAATATAGCAAAGAACAGTTTATTATATTCCAAGAGTCAGGAATGGTGGGTTTTATTTGCATGCAAGTGATATATTCAGCCTGCAGTCAATGATGAAGGTCACAGAGAGGGTTAGAAGCATCATAATGGCTGATATATAGGAAGAAAATGCAGGAAAATTACCCAGTTTGATCCCCACAGCCTCCACTCTGGGTCCCTCAGCAAGACCATTAACCCCTGATTGCTCCCCGGGTGCCGCTCAGTGGCAGCCCACTGCTCCCCAAGGGGACGGGGTAAGATGCAGCAGTGAATTTCTCAATCAATGATTTTCAATTATTATTATTATTCATGATTTTCTAAACATTTAAAGCCCTAAAGATAGGTGTGAATATGTTTAATTGGGCTTTACTATGAGATCGATCTGCAATAAAAAAAATAAAAAAAAGCTACTCATTTCTGTCTGACAGACACATAATCCTCATGATACTCATCCGAACTTGACAGCAACTGTGTTTTCTACGGTACGCAGGATAACAACTAATAATCCCTTAACCTTCCACCTGCTCAACAAGCTCCCACTTGTAGAAATGTCATCTTTTCAGCTGCTTGTACGAACCCACAAGGCTGCGTTTATTTGGACGTGAAATGACAGCTGGCTTTCATGTAGGGCATGGCCCACATGTGATCTGCTGGTGTGCTTCTATAAATGGTTCTAAATAATGAAATGCTCATCAATAATTTCTGTCATTCGTCAAAGTTTTTCCCAAAGTGAGGGCGATTGCATCATACATCCAGAATGTCATAAATGATAAAGCGCCTTTGAAAAACCTTTAGATCCTTGTTCAGTCGATAACTGAACAGGCCATCCCATGTGAAGTGAATGCAAAGAGAAAGTGAATGCATGCCTGTTGTTTTCCAATTCTGCTACTTATTAATCCTTTTTCTTTGCATTTACCTTGCAGTGTTTGGAGACACTGGCCCGTATTGATGTCCCAGATCTTGACAGTGGAGTCTGCGTTGCCTGAGACGAGTATGTTGTCCTTCAGCTCCATGCCGCTGGTGAGGGACTGATGCCCCGTGAGAGTGTGAATGCAGTTTCCCGTCTCCACGTCCCAGACTCTTATAGACGTGTCCAGAGAGCCGCTCACCACATGGATCCCATCAAACTGGAAGAACAAAAGGATGGGTTTTTAATGTGTTTAGGCAGGATAACTACAGCTCTCCCCCCGATTTGCAGCCAATTGCAAAAACATTTCGCTGATGGAGCATTTCCACCTACAAACTTTAGATTCAATACAACTGATCGAAATGTATTGATCTGTCTGAGCTCATCTTTTTTTATGTCCCTATCTCAAAGAGTCAAACTAAGATGTTGGGTCTCAGATTTGAATTTCAGCAAAGTAATCAGTCTTGTCTTTCTAAGGCACAGTGGGCACTCAATATTATAACCTGTTTTCAATTAGACAAAATAAGAAATATGCTGAAATCTTAAACTAACATGAAGAAAGAACTTCAAACACTCAAAGCAAAATCAAATAGATTAAGTCTTGCTGCTGCGACCAGCTTTCTAAATCAGATGAAACGGCTCACCTGCAAGGAGTACACTCTGTTGGTGTGGCCTTGCAGTGTGTGGAGGCAGGTTTCCGTCTCTGGGTCCCACACTTTGACCATGAAGTCGTAAGCACCGCTGACCACCCGCCGCCCGTCGTACTGGACACAGCGCACCGCCGCCACGTGGCCCATGAGGACGTGTAAACACTGACCCGTCTCGATGTCCCAGACACGAAGCGTGGCATCGCGAGAACCACTGACAACCCTGAAGACAAACGAAAAACACGTGGAGTCAAGACACGATGGCACCCATGTTTCTGAAAGGGACTGAAGATGTATTTATATCAGGACCTTGGACAGTTTCAACTTTCATATTTTTGTAATTTGAACGCTTTTAAATGAGAGTCTAGAGACGGTCAAACCAAAAGGCCAAATGACAAGTGAAATTATATTCTACTAATAGCTAATTCAAACAGTACCTCATAAACTCAATAGTACATATATGACAATTACCCTTTAATAAGAGGGGAAGGACAGTATGTTGGGTAACACTTCCCAAGCCCCATCTGCTGCCTGTGGCTTTCAGTCAGCTGTAATTTATGATGACTGCACTTAGCTCAGCTCCCAGAAAGGGTCACCCCTTAAGGGTGACAGCTTTAAAACACTCTGTGGCAAAACAACAGTTGTTTGCAAACTCCTATTTCACTAAGGTTTCACTGCCTTTTAGTAAAAAAGGAAAAACTACCTGATAAAATATCTGAATATTTAGATTAAATTAAAACATTGACATCTCTGCCGGTACCAGGCGTGCATTAGAGCAGCAGACACTGGCTGGCTGGGTGGGTAAAGCCGGTGTATGAGCAGAGGCTACAATCCTTCATGTGGGAGTCCTGCATTTGATGTCTGATCTGATCCCATTTGGTGCATGTTTCCTCTGCTTCTTCGACACTGAATTGATGTTTAATAAAAGCCTCTAGTGCCGAAAAAGACACATTAAGAGACAGAAAAGGAACTGATGCTTATCTTTAAAAGAGGGACGGTAAAGAGATTTCTAAAATTAAACCCGTAATACCAGAAACAGTAATAAAACAGCAATACCAGAAAACCCTGGCATTTCAGCACCGGGTTATAATGCATCCTTGATCTTGATATGAGCCTAACTGAGGGCACCTTTATGTCCAGATAATGTGTTTCTACTTCTTAGATGTGTGAGAGCTTAAACGTAAAAGTCTCCATCAGTCCTCATTCAACTGAAAGCTGTGCTGACAGGCCCAGACCGTGTAAACATTTTCTTCCACTCCTCCAGCATTGCATTCATGTTCACACTTGAATGTACAGAATGTGCTCTTAGCTCAGACAGATGCCTCTAGCCATGTCTTGAGGATGGATGTGAAGATTATTATAGGTTGGGGAGGGAAAAAAAAAAGACAACCCCCTTTAGGTATGACCGTTATTACGTTAAGTGAGGAGTCTGGTCACTGGTCGTTGGTGTTTTAACCAATTCCCTGCAGGTTCTCAACAAACAAAACAGGCAGACTTCTCCCTTAAAATCACTTAGATAGAAAAAAAAAGGATAACTTGTAGCTACGGTGCAGACACTCTATATTTACTAAATGCCTGACAGCACTTTAAAGATGGAAATCACTGACATGTTATTCATCGTCTGCAACTCGCCGCCCTTCCACCCGGTGAGTAATCAAATACTACACACAAAAACCTTGGCTGGCCTTAAGGCAAAAAGAGCACTTTTGAATCTCTAGAGTGCAATACGGCGTGAACAAGTGAGCAGCAGTTCACTTAAGACGACTCAGGCTCCATTTAATCACCGCGAGTCCACATGATGTCTTTTCTAGATGCAGACCTATTTTCCAGAGTCATCGCTGCTCTTTTCACCTGATTGCAGAAATAAAGGACTCACGTTTCTGTTTTTGTACATAAGTGCCAAAAAAGGTCAAAGATGATGTAGCATTTTTTTTTCTATATATCTAACAAGGCATAGAAAAATAAAGAACTAGATCTATAAACATAAATGTAAATTCAACACACATTTTCTGGGCTATTACCAGACAGCAGCTGCTTCTTTATTTGATTATATACCAATCATACACTCTTTTAAAGAGAAATTATTACAATGGTATGAGGGGGAGTTTGTTTTGCTAAAAGGATAAAAATAAATTTATGCACTTCCCAAATCTTTATCATCTCTTTAATCATAAAGAACACTCAGCAATCTTTCCCTTAGAGCTGATTTAAAGCCTAAAAAAAAATCTCACCACCAGCGCTGCTCCATACCTTTTCTCATGTAGGTGCATGCAGCGTACTGTTGAGGTATGCCCATAGAGGGTGTGGATACATTCTCCCGTCTCTGCATTCCAGACCTTGAGTGTGCGATCAGTGGAGCCGCTGATGATGATGCTGTCTCGCATCTGGGATGACCACACGCCCCCGGTGTGGCCCACCAACGTCCGCAGACACTGAGTTAACACAAAGGCAGAGAAAGTTTTAGTGTGACAGACAGCAGGGGTGGTTGGATTTGCATATATATCCAGAATCAGGGGTTCAGAGCTGGAAATCTCATTTGGGATTTCATTTGCTGTTGACCTCATGTTGGCTTCGGGGGGAAAGAAAGGAAAATTAAATTTATGTGACCTGTTATTTGAAGAAAAAGCTTGTGCAAGCTCCTTTAGCTCAGGGGCAAAATATCCAAACCATCGGCCAGCTTTAATAATTGCTTTTAGTTATCTGTTTGAGAAGAGGCCGATTCATTCTTGTTGCAGAAAGGGTTGACAACCGTCCTCAATGAAACGCGTCCATTTGTCCTCATTAGGGGAGCTAGATTAGCTATTGATTGCAGCAGTTATGGAAATCACTCTGATCAATTGAATTTGCGTCTCCGCAGTTTGTTCCACATGTGGGTCGATTTAATTATCCCAAATGCATTAAAGTGAAATTCAGAGGGTGGGGTGCAGCAGCTGTCTGGGAGGTATAGTGAAGCTTGTCGCTTCACTGTAGAACATGTGACCTCTGACTGCAACTGATAAGGAACAGTGGGAATAAGTGAATACCAGCAGTGGAAGAACAAGAGGGGAATGAAGCTGTAGCCTTTTCTGCTTACTTTTCAGAGGATCCTCATGAAGTTTAGCTGAAATAGGAATAACCTTAGAGGGGAGATTGTTTCTCGCTTCATTTGACACACTTTCTACATAACAGAAAGGCTATACCCAAAATGCATCACACCAGTTTCTTTATATTTTACTTTTAAGCTCCAAAGTGGTTCTTATCAATAGATCTTCAGACTAGATGAGGATTTTTAAAATGCTAAAAACAGCTTTCTAGGAAAAACAGCAAACTACTTCAAGAAAAGGTTTGCTTTTTAGCCAACTTATTATAACCTACGAACCACTCAGACATAAAAAAAACAGCTCCTAAACCCATGAGATGAGACATTTTTAGATCCACATGTGAACAACTACTTGGCAAAGAAACCATCAGCCAGTAACATGTTTGGTTTCCAACTTTCCATTTCTTTTGTCAAACCAAAGATGCCAAATGAAACAATATTTTAGCTCCAACAGAACAAACATGAAGAGTTATTATAAGCAGTACATGACCCACCGAAGGAGGATGTATCTCTACAGTCCACTGTAAACTCCTTGCAATATTTGTTTCACTATTTCATGACTTAGATGCTGTTAATTCATCTTGCTGCTTCTGTTGTTATCCCATTTCTCTGTCTCTCCTTAATGAGATGGCAGAAAAGGTGCTGAACTAACCAGAGTTTACCGTTTGAAATACTGAGTAACACATCTGGCAGCTCAGCCACTTCTTAATACAGGCTGCATGTCTGCTGCCTGAAAGGAGGCTGAAACTTTCCTCTAGCATGACAGATTCTGCAGCCGAGAAGAATATAGTAATACTCTTAAAGGTAAATAATTAAACTAAATCTATATTGTTTTTTTTTATTGTATTGATGACACAAAGTATCACTAGAGCCATACTCTATTATTTGCACTCAAATTAACAGTTATACACATATTTGGGTATGAACTTGGAGTTATGTCCCTCACCTTATTTCAAGAAGAAATTTAACCCACAACTGGCAAATTTGAAAGCCACTAAAACTGCAGTTGTAAAGGAGAGGATCTGTAAAGCAGCAGACTTCAAGCTAGGATAACTGAGCAGTGAGCCTTAGTTAATAACCCGCAAATATCAGCGGAACAGTAATTAGCATGCTAGGTTGAAAACAACTAAACGTTTTAGCAAGTGTTTATTCTACATCTTTCGTTGAATCTATGTATTAAATAACAGCTTATTCTTCCAGTTGGGATAATTAATGTCTTTGTTTTCACTCTTAAGAGTTTGTAAACCATGTTACTTTTAATTTAACCCGAGTGGGAAAAAAATACTTTCATCGATTTATATGAATTTGCCGTTTACGAAGATTTAATCATTTCCACCAATGCATTTTTTATAGCTGTAATTGTGTAGTGGTTCTTTAAGATACACTAGTATTGCAATTGATGTCACAAGTATACACCACTGCTCCTCTATAGAGAGCATGGGAGATACGTGACCCAGATCGATACAGGGAATGAGATGGACATGTTAGCGCCCCAACTTTTGGTAACGTTAAGGGGTGTTTGGACTCTGCTCATTTTTCATATTTGAAAATATATAGCAGCTGTTGAACCTGGCTTTGTAAGGTTGGGGAAGAGTGGGTATATTAAAGGAAAACACAGTGGAATTCCCAGTACTAGTGTGGTTGTGAGTTTTTGACCAAGTCTTCCATCACCTCTCCTCCCACTCCTTGATCCTCTATAGTCAAGAGTGACCTCCGCCTGTCACCTTTGGTTCAGATAAATTCAACTAACTCTGATCAAATTGTTCGTAGTGAGACGCCACTAGGTGCACACATTTTATTCGCTCTGCTTTCTTTGGCTATAATGGCAGAGACTGCCAACTTGTTTTACAATTGTGATTCATAGCTTCTTTTTAGCAGCACTTTGAATTCAAGTCATCTCTGTGGGGGAATGACTGGAAGATGCTTCAAAAGAATTTCTGTAATTTTTAATTTGTTTTCATTAAACATAAGGGAGAATTTTTTCTTAGATTAATCTGATTTGGTCTGGAAAATTCTAATTTAAACTCAACAGCATACTGTGAGACCAGATATGATACATGTTAACACAGCCGGTTTATCACTTTTGCACAGTTCATCAAAATCATAATTATAAAAACCCTCTTTAATTTGTGTGACAAGTACAGCCTCCATGTTTTGGGGTTTTGTGCTAAGAGGCTCCTACTTTTTGTAATTTGCTCTGGACATATGAGGATCTACAATCCATCTTGTAAATTAAAGAATTGGAGGAAACCTTAAGGAACAAGAATCCGTGTGATTAGAGCCAACTCAAACACTGCGTGGGAAGAGACTATCTGAAATGAAGGACTCCGGCATCCAACATAAAATAAGCCTCTCTCTGAGTATGGAGGAAGATTAGAGCTCCCTTCACTCAAACTGTGAATGCCTTCTTTGAATACAGAGCTACTGATGCTGTGATTTAGATTTACAGAAGATTGTTTCTCTCTTTCAAGTATGAATTAATAAATATACCTTTTATGACCTTTGTGGGCAAGAAAATAATACAAAATAAACCTGTAAGAGGAGCCAAATGTGCACCCAACTAATAATATCCAAGGATTAAATCTCAGAGCTACAGGTAAAGATTTTAGACAATAATCAAACGCTTCATCATTAAAGATTGCTATGGGAACAATACATCTTGAAACAACAAAGTTATAAGAAATGTTGGGTGATAATCTCAGGGGGAAATGCCTTAGCACTAAAAATTATGTTCAAAGATTTCAAAGGATTACATGTTTGTTTTCCTGCATTTCCTCCAGGAAAGTCAAAGAATTCAAAATTCAAATCAAAGTTAAAACAGCAACATTAATTCTCAATCTTTATTATTTTTTAGTTATGGTCAGAAAAGCTACTTTTAATCTCCATGACTTGTTTATGAGGATAAAATGTATTACTGCAGCTCCACAGCGGACATCCCTCCCTGGATGCAACATCAGTCCACAGGTCTGCCATCTTAAATCTGCGTGACAGCGGAGGCTGCCGCTGACAGGCACCCCCAAGGACAAGCTCTGCTCTGTTAAACACAAGGCAGCCACCTTTGAAGCACCGAGATGTGTGCACCTGCTTGTGTGTGTGGAGGGAAGATTGACAGCTGGAGTCTGAGCTGGAGACACGCTAAGACAAAGGGTTCATCCACTGAAGACAGAATCTTTAAACACCTTCCCAGAAACAACTTAGCAGGAAAACAACAATGAAAGTACAACCTCCATTTGTGACTTTTACAAGATATTTATTCAGTCTTCCAAATGCTTTTTTTTTTATACCTTGTTATCTATTCATGCTGAGATAACAAAATAAATGTTTTGATTTTCCTTAAGCATGGCTTAAACAGAATCATTTATTTAACAAAAAAATCTGAGCAAACCAAAACCCAAAAAAAAAAAAGAAAGGTTAGATGCCCATCTTAGTGGTGAATTTAACTGCAGTAATTTGTTAAATATTTGAAATATTACATAATGTCTCTGCAGGTGGGAGTTGATGGGATGTTACCAGCGAATTTGAAAATGAAACAAGCTAATCTTTGAGGGAAACAGGATTTGTTAAAGAATTAATGGAAACATCTGTTTTGGAGCATGTCTACATTAGATCTGCTGCAACATTTAAAGTCAGGGTTGCATGAAGGTGGAGACATTTTCAAGGGTCCATCAGGACCTGATTAACTTAAATAAAGGGCATCTGTGAGCTAATGATTAACTCTGCTTCTTTATTACTGGTCTCCCTCACACACACAACTCAGTGTCGGTTGCTTTGGCTCCTGATTCTAACCCAAACCACCACTTACTGTGGACAAGTTGTGGACAAAACACTTAGGACAAGTTCAGAAGAAATTGGTCACACAACTCTGAACAGTGCATCTCTAGATAACACTGATCCTAAGTTAGCAACACAGACACATGAACTGCAAAATCTTTAATCTAATGATGGAGAATTGGAAAAGAGAAAATGAAATCAGCCTCTGAGGAGAGAGACTGCAGCTTTTGTTTAGGTTAAACGGCAAAACAGTAAAAGATGCACCACTTATAAATAAATGGCTTAATGGTTGAAGATGTGGCTGCAAGGCAGGTGCACTGAATGCCTTTTGTGTTATCCCTCCAGAGGGCAATAACAGACTGTAAAAGTTATAAAACCTCCCTGTATGCTGCTCAGCTAAAAACTTAAAGGTGAAATCATGGAAAATGTCTTTAGAAGCCGACAGACTCCAACAAAGGTTGACAACAGAAAACACAAATAAAAAAAGTGCCAGGAGCCCTACTGTATTTTTACTCTGGTTTTATGAGCATCGACAGACGGTTTACAGAAACGGTTGACTCAGCCTAATTGGCTGTTCTTCCAGGAGCATGGGTGGGGGGCAGGGGGTAGACGCCTGGTCTGATTGCAGCACCCAAACAAACAGATTTTTAGCTAATTTCTCAGTTTATCTGCTGAAAGAAAACAATCTTGAGGCAGTTTAACACTGCAGGAGGCGATGTTGTCAGTGTGAATGAAGGTGGTTTCAAGCAAAGCCAGTACGTCCAGCCCGCCGTGTGATTCATTGCAGACTTTTGCCCTCAATATGGAGTCGCTGAGCCTGTAACTCCCCAACCTGTCAGCTGGATATTTGTGTTTTAAGGAAGCGGAGCCAAACGGAGCTCTTTGCCCATTGGATGACCTTGATGAGATCGACTCAGATCAGCAAACCCTGTGACTGGTACGCTTATAATCAGTGGTGGGCTAAAAGCCAACATAAGCTTGTGTAAAGCAGCATCTTTACATCAATAACACTTTTTTCCCCTACAGACTAATTGCCTAGGATGAAGAAATCCAACTTCATGAATATGCAGAGTGTCTGGCTTTAAAGGTGTCTCCTAGGATATTTTGTGATATACGATTTTGACTCAAACTGCATCTTATTTTGTAAAAAGTCAAAAAACGACCTGAAAACTGTGTTGAAATGATTCATTGAATTCTTAATTTAATAGTAGTAGAATAAGAAGGCATGACGACTGATCTGCTACAATCTTCAGCTCACTGCAACATCCCCACACCACCGCCTCTCTTCTTCACGAGTAGAACCGGCCTGTGTGACTGCTGCAGCTTCAGCTATGAATACAAACATTGAGCAGGAGGAGGATGTGGAACAGCACTGCAAAATGGATAAATGTAAGAAGCGAGAAGCGACTGGTGAAGCACTTCACAAGAAGATTGTATCCGAGTTGGGGGAGAAAAAAGTTTTTGATCAGCCATCACTGGTACTCGAGCTGCATTTTTATTGCTCTGTGAATTTCTGAAGTTTAGACATGCAGCGCGCAGCAAGTCGACGGAGACGTTAAAATGCTGCCTTGATGTCTCCTCCTCTGTCAAATCAACATATGGTAGAAACTATGTAAATGTATATACAGTCATGGGACATGTCAAGAAACCTTAAACCCTTTTTATTTGTTATTTTTTAAAACATGTCTTTATTTTATGTGTGATAAAAGCTTCAATTACTGAATGGATTTGAATCAAATGATCCGGTAAAATAGCTGGCCTTTAAATGCTGCAGATCGGGGATCAGTGGAAAGAGATCTGTGGTTAAAAGCAATCCTCAAAAATTTATTGTGGTGTCATTTCCTCGGAAAATTATACTTAAGGTAACATGGCTGTTATGGTATGGTATCAGTAATGAAAAAATAAATTGTTTAGGAGTAGATTTATTTATACATGGTCCACCTAGTTTAATTAAGAAAAACCCATAATAGTCAGATACATTTTTCCTAGTCCCCTTGGATAATTCTGACCCACTCAAACCCCCCAAAATAAAGTCAGACCTTACCTTTCCTGTTATGGCTGACCAGACCTTCAGCGTGTTGTCATCGGAGCCGCTGACAATGCGGTTGCCACAGAACTGGAGGCAGGTAATCACATGGTCATCGTGTCCCTTCAGCACCTTCAGATAGAACAGACTAGGTGAGACAGGATGAAGGGGACGAGACGAGGAGATGGAGGTGAGACGACAAAGCAGATGACAAGAGCTGAGCAGACAGCTGCGTGTCTCCTGGGCTTTGTGCATCAACGTGAGAATGAGATAAGAAGCAAAATGTCAAAAAGTACTGGGGTGTATAAAGCTCCTCCAGAGGAAGTGTTTTGTTTCTGTGCTTATGTGCAGCATCTGCCTGCTACTGGGTCGTCAAAGGACTGCCAGCTCAGCAGATCATATCACTTGCTGCACAAACGGAAGAACACAAAGACCCCCAGAACCTAGCAGTGGTCTAAAGTGACCTTTAGATGTTCTAAAAGCAGCTGAACCCTTCAAGGTCTATCAGAGGTCTTCTTTAACATTCAGCTCATGATTTAAAGAGAAAAAGTCTTCAGCGGTAAAAAGATAAAACCCCTCAGATTGAAGGAGACCATCCTGTGGGCCTGCCCAATTATTATTTCACAGAAATAATGCAGACGTGGCTTATCATCTTTCCATCAATTCCACACCTCAGTCCCGTCTATGAACCTACTTTCTTTAACTTAAAGATGTTTGATAACACCTCTTTAAGATGATCTAACCCAGGAGGAAATAAAGTTTGCATAGGAAGCTACCTTGGGTGATTTGAGGTCCCCTCTCCTCCAGTTAGTGTCTATTCTGTGCTGCCTGATATAGGCACTCTTCCAGGGGCTGTGAGTGAAGCCTGGCTTGGCAATTTTCCTTTTCCGTGGTGGCAGAGGCTCGTCGATACCTTCAAAGTAAAAACGAAAGAAAAAAAAAAAAAAAAAAAAAAAACAGCTAAATGTGCTAAGAGGCTAAATATCAGATGTGATTTACAGATCCATCTTCCAAACAGCAGGGGGCCAAATGGTGGGATATGACTTAAGACTCACCCTCTTCCCTGCATTTCTCTCTCCACAGCAGGTTGTCTTCTGCCAGGATACGCCAGTAGCGACACGTCTGCGCCGCTTGGAGGAGGTCCTTCGGTTCCAGGAATGAAAGTACGTACAAAGCCAGCTGTGGACAGAGCGGCAGAATGGGACGCAATTTTGAAAAAAATATGTAAAACAGCAAGGTGTTGGTAAAAATATGCATACAAGATTAACCATGTCGGACCAGATTAAACATAACCATGTATCTATCAGTTGACCATAGTCAGGTTGAAGCAGATCCGTTGTAGAAAAATAGCTTTCTAGCTTAAGCTAAATTATGCTGTCAGTACCTGGATAGGCTTAAGAGTAGGGATGGGGATCGTTAATATTTATTGATATCGATACCTTTATCGATACTGCTTATCGATCCGAGTCTTTATCGATACCACTATCGATACTTTTCTGTTATTTGGTGGAAAGACGATGCGACAATATGTTTTTAACAGACAGAAAGGAAGTGGGGAAAAAAATATTTGAAGAAATGTCCTATATTTTGAAGAAATGTCTTCTTTTGGTTTAAAAAAATATATACATTTTCACAATTGTTGGTTAATGTATTGTCTACTGTCAATTTTCATCATGCTTTTAGTGATTAGGAAAATATTTAGCAAATAAACAATAGTATTTTAAATTAAATGTAATTTTTAATAAACGTTGGCATCAGTAGTTTAATTATATGTTCTAAAATAATTAGAGCAATATACAACTGTATTACTCATGTTTCTCGCCAAAAACTCAATTTCCCTTTTCTTTGCGTTACACTTGAAAGCATCATGATAACCTAATTCTCGTTTTACTGAGCCAATCTGAACACATCATCCCGCAGCACGTCTGAAACTTTGTTTACTTTTCAAGCTAACTAGCTTGTATGCTGCCGGTTACAACACGGATTTCACATTTACTATTTTTAACTGACCGGACAAGCTACAAAGTCTGTGTAAGCGCTTACCAGTGGTACTCTGAGTGGATGATGAAGACGGGCCCGATTGCGGCGGCAGCAGCAGGAGGAGGAGGAGTCGTCTTTTCAACCCGGAGACAGTCGAAGGTACTGCAATTGGCCTTTATTTGATGCACAATACTAATGTGCTTGGCCATTGAGGTTGTTTTCCCCCCTTTACAAGAGATGATTTTGCAACATAAGTTGCATTTCGCTTCTTCTTTATCTTTGAGCTCGGTAAAATGAAACAGAGTCGCGAGCGAAGTTAACTGCCAGACTTCACTTGTTTTACTTTTAATATCTGTTTGCTTACAATTTCATTCCAAAACATTGGTGGACATGCTGCAGTGATTGGATTGATTAGATTTAAATGATGTGACGCGACTTGAGGGACACGCAATTATGTTACAGGACCTCCAGGAGAAAAAAAAAAAAACGACCAGACTCGATAGTGGTATCGATAAGCCCAAACGTTATTGATTTTCAGGTTTTGAAAAAAGTGGAACCGGGTCCTTGATAGAACCGGGTTTCGATCCCCATCCTTACTTAAGAGCACAAAAGACTATAAATAATTGCACTCCATTCTAAGTTAATCTTTATTCTAAAGAGATACTTATGTTAAACTCCTTAATTTATAAGGTTCAAAATTGATTTTGTAGTTTTAAGTTAATTTCAGAGACCACATTCTAGAATTTAAAAGCTTTCAACACATTCTAGAAATCAGACTTCTAGACAAGTAATATGAATAAATTGAGAGCTGAAATTAATATTCGAAAAGCTTGCAACAAATATTTATGCACCTTGAAGTACTGTTCTGTTATTCTGCTGTGATCTGATGATGATCTCACTGTGATTAATTCAGATGGAAAGGCAGAAACAAGGTGGATAAAAGTTTAGGAACCTGAATTCTTTCAATAATATATTCCATTACTGACAGGTTTAGCTTTCAAGACATCTCAGTCCTTTACATTCAGTTTAAAATACAAACATTTACCTTAAATTCATAGCCGGGAGGAAGCAAGGAAAATAAAAAAATTTGTAAAAGCACTTTGACATTTAATTGTGTGAAAAGTGCTTTAGAAAGAACACCTAATATGTTATATTTTGATATATAACATTTAAAAATACATATACTCAAATAGCCACAGACTAAAGGGCAGATTATATTTCTGCAATCGCACACATCAAATGTCGCTTGCGTCTGGTCGTGAACCAGTTTTGCTGGTATGCTTCTGCAACTTCGGTCTGAAATTTCTAGGGACACAGCAGTTTCCTGCCAAAGCGCCTAGTGGGAGCCTACTCAAGAACTCGAGAGAACTTCGGCGGATGGTCACGAGAATTTCTTCGGAGGAGTGTCGGAGGCCTCGTACAAGTGGTGGTACTTCCCAAACCTCCTCGATTAACGTTTCATCTTGGTTATCCATTGTTGTTATTACTCATCTGTTTTTAAAAATGGCACACCCCGGCACCGAATCGAGAAGGATGACCACACAGACAGCGCATTTTGTCTGCGCATTCGCAACCGTCCGACGTGTAGTCACGATTCGTTTTGAGGTGAGCGACGACGGTGGCAGAGCCTCTGTGCAGGGGGCGAGGTCGCGCACTGAGACAGATTTGACGGTTGCAGATGATGGTTGCAGAGGTTATGCGTCAGAAGTATAAATTGGCCTTTAGGCTGATAATGGTTACTAGTGTTTACTGGACAAACAGTTATGAGTAGATCTGAATGCCTGAATTGTTACACTTGGTTTTTCTTATAGTTTTATCCTTAGATATGTAAATTTAAATTTAGATGACCTGGACCTGCCATAAAATGAGTCGACAGCCTCACCAAGCAATGGGATAGTTGAGGGAAAGTAAAATGACCAAATTAGATTAGGAAGAGAAGAAGAAACTACTAGTATTGTAATTTTAAAATAGGTACGAGAACATCTAACAGTGTATGACTTCACTTTTGACCAAGTGGTTCTCAATACAAAAGAAATTTCTTTCCCTCAGTCTATCCCATTCTGTCCCTCGATCGTCTGGTTTGCCATACAGCTAAGAGAAGCCGTTTTACCAGAACCTCAAACACGGCCCCATTATGGTTTTATTAAAAATGAACATGCAAGGTCAGCCTTCAGAAAAAAGGAGCTGGGGGGGAACTCACCTCTTTGGGCAGCAGGGAGATGAAGTCGCGCTGAAACTGCGGCTCGATCACCTGCATCATATGCTTGACTTGTGTGGGCTCACAGCTGTCGATCAGCTCATCCAGCGCCAGCAGCTTCTCTGGGCCGGTCCAGCTCTGCACGCAGCAAAAACAATAATGAAGATGTTATTACTTAAGTTCTTCCAAACGCTGTCCACATTTGATCTAGATCAAATAATCATTAAGCATTCATCTAGAGAAAATGTATATCATTGCTGTTTTTATACCCATAAAGATTTAAAAAGCAGCATGTATAACAGATTTATTTTACAGAAAAATAACAGAATTGTTGAGATATCTTGTATAAATGCATGATTTTTGTTCTCGTTTGTTTTAACACTTTATTGCTTTCAAAGTAATACATTTCAGTATCAAAATCAAGTATAACCTGAGGTAAAAAAAAAAAAATGCAGTTTTCAGACTTTCAACTTTTCTTTCAAGGGCATAAAGCTAAATTTACATTTTTAGTTAAGCAGAGTTTACTGTTAACATCAAGGCACCATTACCACCAGAAATGCAGAACTGCAGAAATCACTGAAATAGAACCTGTGTCTCATGAAGTAGGCTACAATCAAAACAATCTTAAGACCAAATGAACAAACATATATATCTATGAGTCTGAAAAGGGTCACAGAGGCGCAAACAGTAGCAAATATGGCCATGGGAACGTTTCCAGGAAGGAATAACTGCTGAAATCACATCAAACTATTTTTTTCTTAAACAAAACACATCTTAATGCTCCTCGACATATTTTTGAACAAATAAAAAGTGGACCACAGTGGAATTATTTTTAGGATGCATATCCTGTTTGTAACTTGTGTAAAACTGTCAGTAATGAAGAAAAAGATGAAGGGCTTAAATTCAAATCTTAATGCTGTGGTATAATATCTCATAACCTACCTATGATCAAAAATCTTCAAATGGAACTAAAGCAAAAAAAAAAAAAACAGATTTTTTTTTTTGCAAAGAATAGTTTATAAAGGTTTTCCACATAGCAATGTGAAAGACTCTGCCTGTTACAGAAACACCTGATGGCAGCAGAAGTTATTAGGTTAAGTGGGGATAATTACATTTCTATGTCAGGCCAAGCTGGTTTGGAGCTAGCTTTTCCCCTAATAAATGATCCATCAATCATTTAGGGGAGGAATATTCAGAGCAATACACCTGCAAATTTTCTTTGATATTCCTCTATTTTTGGAAAAAATTGAAACATCTTTTTCAAGACTAAATTCATACACTTGAACAAAGGTGGTTTTGAAAAAAAAAACAACTATAAAATACTTTAGGCTTTACAAATTTCTTTAATCCAACCTATTAATTTCAAAAAGCTTTAAGTGTTTTTTTCATTTAAATATGAAATACATGTTGAGATGAATAGGAATGCTTTAAAAATACAATTAAATAAAGCGTCACTTATAAAATCTGCCAAATGAAAGGCATCGGTGTTCCTTTTCAACCCTTAAGAATTCAAACAAGCAAACAAAACTGATTGCATTTATAACAGAATGAAAGGCTGACGGTTCTTTAGTACTTTGATTAGCATACGTCTAATTCGGGAGTTGAAAGCAGTTTGTTTTTCAATAACATGTGCAAAGTTGTTTTATCGGATTGCTCTACTATGTAATTGTTGATAAGAAACAATGAGCCAGTTATAGACATTCTGCTCTGCAGCATAGCAAGACAACACTCTATTGAAACGGATATAGATGAGCCTAATGAGCTGATCTAGTGTGCCACAATAGCTTCTCTGTGATCTAGTGCTGCATTAAACTTTGTTTTCAGTTCTCACACCTGTAATTTCTGCAGACACTGTCAAAAAATTTTTCTAATTAGAGAGCAGCAGGAGCTTTTCCATCTTTGCTACACACAGCAACACCTTAAAGACATCCTCTCCTTGTTTACTGGGAATAAAGCCTAAAAGGGAACCAAACCCACAGGACTGAGCTCAAATGGATGATTGTTCCAGTTTACCGACAGAGGGGACGTCAGAACCCCCTATCTCACTCAGTGTGACCTGTAATGTGGTTTTTCACAGCAGCAGATATGTGCTTTAGGCATCTGGGGTTTTCAATAAGAACATCAACATATACTTGCTTTTCAGTAGCAGCAAATGGGCTAGTTCCTGCATCTTCTACGTTTTTCCCCCCTGAATAATGACTTAAACTGTTGAACCAAACACATGCAGGTTTCCTACCCTGTAGAAAACACTGGGGTTTAACAATGATTACAGGCCATGACGGCGAGTGGAAACTCTGGCCCTCACCTGTAATTTGGCAGCTGAAAGGTTTAGCCAGAGGTGCTGGTTGTAAGGGTAATGAGAAGGTTCAAAGAGCCCCCCACAATCAGAGGGCTGAGCAACAGATAGTTAAGTCTTACATCAACTTTCAGAAACTGATTTCTGTTTTAGTTTCAAACAGAATCCTTAACAACTTAGGTTCATCCTCCTCAACCTCAGATTAAACAGCCCTTATTCTAAAATGTTTACTTTGTTGCAAAACGTGAAAATAAAATCAAATTAACTTTATTTTTGCAAGCAGATTTTTCTTGTATTTCTTACAGGTGAAACAAGACCCAGCTTTATGACATTTCTCAACAGCAAGAAATCTGTCTTACAAAGAAACACTGAAGTATGCATACAGGGTTTATACATGATTGAGTAATTCTCATTATTTAATGCTTTTTGATGCTCTTAGAAACAATAATCTTAATGCCATCAACAAGTACCCATGACTATTGTGTATATATATACAGTATATATATATATATATATATATATATATATATATATATATATATATATATATATATATATATATATATATATATATATATATATATATATATATATATATATATATATACACACACACATATATATATATATTAGGGGTGGAACGGTTCACAAAACCCACGGTTCGGTTCGGTTCACGGTTTCGTGGTCACAGTTTTCGGTTCGGTTCAATTCGGTATATGTTGATTGTTAAACCGAAATCCCATAAAAATTTATGAAATTAATGAAAAAATCCCCCAAAAATAATGGATTGTAATTATTTTAAATGATTCGCGGAAACCCTGGATCATTTCCGTATGTTTTGCTGCTTTGAATTTCATCATCTCGCGCATGCTCTCTACCATCTCCAAGGAACTCAGAGGGGAGCTGGCGGGAGCCACAGTGCAGGCTATATGCTTTGCTTTGAGCAGCCGGTCTGGAGCGCAGCAGGGGTTGCTGAAGGAGTATGTGGGATTTCGGGGTTAGCATGACATGTTGGTCATGTTGCTGTTAGCATAAACAAAACGTGTTGCACAATGCTTGCACACTGTTGCACTTTTATCCACAACTTTCTTTCTGCCGTCATCGTAGGTCAGTCTAATTGCAAAGCGGTTCCATACAGCAGACCTATAAAGTGCTGCTGGTGCGTCTTCCAACTCCTGTCCTTTCCCACTCGCCATTCCGACACAATTCTCCACAACAACTCATTTTTTTCCTGCTACGCCCGGCTAAGCTGCTTTGCTTCTTCTTCTTCTTATTTACTACTGGTGGTTGGCTTTGGTCGCAGTACCGCCACCTTCTGCTCGGGAGTGTAAACTCTTCGCCTATGAGAAAAAGGAGCAGCGCATGAACCGAACGAAATACACGCGAATCGAACCGAGACAGTTGAACCGAACGGTTTGGACGGTTTTCATAAATCGTCCCATCCCTCACCCCTTGCTCACACTGGCTCCGGTGCGGTTACCAAGCCGACGGAGACCGAAACTCCCGCACACCCCCTCTCACACCGCCCTTTTGACTACGGTGCGGTGCGGTGCGGCTCTGCGGCTCCGGCAACAGGTCCGGAGATTTAACTCGCGAGAACAGAAGTTCACTTGAGTTCACGTAACTTCACGCGATAACACGGCCCAAATAAGGATATTTGAGAGCTTGTTGCGGAGGGCTCCGGCACGCCGCAAGGATAGCTTTCTTGCGGAATTTTCTGCAGCGCCGGAGTGTCTCGGTAACCGCAGCCGGACAGCTCAGCAGCCAGTGAGCGAGGTTTACGTCTTTTTAATGACTTGGAATCACTGCGGCGCCGCACCCACCGCACCGCAACGCTAAGATCGGATCAGTGTGAGCCTGGGGTCATAATAAATATATATATATATATATATATATATATATATATATATATATATATATATATATATATATATATATATATATATATATATATATATTTATATATATATATTTATTTATTAGGGATGGAAAAGTGTGCAAGCATTGTGCAACACGTTTTGTTTATGCTAACAGCAACACGACCAACATGTCATGCTAACCCCGAAATCCCACATACTCTGTCAGCGCTCCGCTGCGCTCCAGACCGGCTGCACAAAGCAAAGCCTACAGCCTCCACTGTGGCTCCCGTCCGCTCCCCTCTGAGTTCCTTGGAGATCGTAGAGGGCATGCGCGAGATGATTAAATTCAAAGCAGCAAAACATGCGGAAATGATCGAAGGTTTCCGCAGATCATTAAAAATAATTACAATTCATACTTTTTTTTTTTTTTTCCAGTAATTTCATTATTTTTATGGGATTTCGGGGCAACAATCAACATATACCGAACAGAAAACCGTGACCATGAAACCGTGAACCGAACCATGGATTTTGTGAACCGTTCCACCTCTAATGTGTGTATATATATATATATATATATATATATATATATATATATACTGTTTGTCCATATTTCCGCCTCAAGCTTCTTTTCCGAAGCATTTTAATGCCGCGATTATCAAATGTAATGAATTTTAATGCCAATTAAAGCCTTAACTCAATAAATAATAAATTAATGACTTTTAACAATTTGTAATGACCCGCGGAAACCCTGGTATAAATATTAGGGGTTTAACTCAGGATTATTTGGATAATCGATTCGTCGGTTACTTATTTTTTAAATTAATAACCGGACAGCAAAAGGTTCTTTAACGAAGATTTTATACATAATTAAACTAGGTGAAACTAAAACTTTTCAACTTGCGAAGTTCTGAAAAGAGCATACTGACAAGGAGAAAAAGGGTTTATTTATCTTAAATGCAAAACAGTTATACATTTTTTTCACAATTTTGATTTAATTACTGCTCTAAGTGGGTGCTCTGTCAGCTAAACTCCTGCTCTAGAGTCTCTCTACTCCAGTTAAAATTGATCGATTACTGAATTAGTTGATTTATTTATTTTAATAATTGATTAATCACAATTGATCCGGTTAATTGTTTTAGCCCTAATATATACACTATTAAATCATTAAAACAAAAAACTTTCAAAAACTGATCATCACATCTTTTTCTTGACCAAAGCACCAAAGGGTTTACAATCAAAATACAGTTTATAATATTAATCTGTATTGTTCTAGAAATCATTTTGACTTTGTTTGACTTGATGTTCAACAATAACTATACAAAAGAAAAATATTTTTTTTCTAATTCCTCGTCCCCCAGTAATAACCAAGAGCCATCTATGCTGCATTAGAAATAACAAACTATAATATCTGATCATGATCATTAACACCATTAAATTCTGCAGTCATATTAAAATCGATCATATCCTTTGGAGAAAAAACCTCAAGAACTTGTGGTCTACCATATTAAATGTTTTTGTTTTTATCTTAGTCTTTAACAGCCCATTACGAATATCTAAACATGCCCTGAATCTCTACAGAGTGCCGTTCATCTCCCTGTAGCTTCAGCTGAAATTGGTCAGACCTTAAGAATAATATGATTAAAATTAGCACAAAGGTGTCACAGCTTCACCCAGGCATAGACTGATAATTAATCATAACTTTGCTCAGTAATGGAATCCATGATGACCCATTATGTTCAAAGAAATCCCAGGGATCATCACAGCCAATAGGTAGAAATAACATCTTATTTCCTTGAGGTCTGAGGTCATTAGAGCTGTTGAGAGAATAAAGATGAAACATAACAGTGATGGGGTGAGCACTAAAGTGGTTTTAAACAGTAAAAACTGAACAGTTTGTTATTTAGAGACAATCAGATAGTTAGTCAGGGTCAAATGATCACAGAGGGGTCTTTAATAAAGAGCACAGCTCTGAGCCAGACTGATCTTTTTACTGCTTTTCAGTCCAACAGGTACGGCTAATCCCAATTCCACGCTACAGTGCTTATGGTAATGTGCTGGGCCAACACAACAAGGCAGCAATTATCTCTGAGACTAAGAGCACAGTGATTGGAAGGACACCTGCTTTCTAACGAGCTTTTGCTAGAGGGTTTAACACCTACCAAAGAGTGAGGAAAATGGAAGTCTTCAGAACTGCTCTGTGCTCACCTGAAATGTTCGGAGCCATTCTTGGAGACCCGTAGGTGGCTGGATTGAGGTGATTCGTCGTCTTTGTTGCCCCTGACCGTTGGCCGTTCTGATGTGGCCAAAGGTTGTGGGTGTAGCCGGACATGGGACAATTCCTGTTGGGCTGTCGAACACAGACACACAAATCAGCATAGATATAAGACATTTAAAGGAATCGGCACACAAGCAAGAGGCAGACAGGAAACTTGCTTTTAACAATAAAAATGACTGTGGAGGTACTTGAAAAGACTTTACTACAACTTGTTCAAATATTTCAATATCAAATTACTCTGACAGCATAACACAAAACGTACAGCTAGAGATGAATTTAAAGATGCCATTAAAGCTGAAAGCTTTTTCGTTTGCTGGTAATTTGCTTTTAAATTCAAGAAAAAAGTCTGCTCTGATGGCACATTAATATATTTATTATGTTTATAGGACCAAGAAGGATCCTGGCATAGACGTGCGTTACTGCTTAACAGAATCATTTTAGGAAGGTAGAGAAAATAAATCTGAGTGGAAGAGTTTGTGTTTTATTTGCCTATCTGTGGTGAAATACTTCAAAAGCAACTGGCGTGATTTTGTAATATTACAGCAACATGAGGAACTATCCAGCAGACACTCTTCATACTTTAGGTTCAGCAGACTGGCAGCAAAATGGGAAGCTGGGGTCGATTTCATTATTGATTCATTTTTAATGGCAAAGAAAGCCGAGAGGGAGCCAGTTACATAGCAACATTTACACATAAGTGAATGTGTTGTGTTTGAATTTTAATGTAGCTACATATGAACACATGCATTAAAGATTTAGAGCAAGAGGAACTACTGGGACTGCAGGCTGGATGCTGCAGATACTATCCATCCTCCTGTTTGAGGCAGGATCCTGGGTTCATAGCAGTTGACATTTGTTAATTGGCACTATTACAACACGACACAGACGGGGAACAAAGGCAGGACTTATTGGCCCAAGGAAAAAAAACTACTGGAAGGAAGAAGAAGGATCTTAGACTGTACCTTGTATACTCTGGGCCTTTGCAGGGCTTTTTTCCTGAAGGGAAAGTTCGGACCTCTGGGCCAGGGTCCAACTTTCTCTTCATCTGAAGAGAAAAGGAAAGAAATTAAGGAGAACATTAGAAAACACTCCAGTCCCACTGGAGTCAGGAGATGGTTAAAATAATACAAATAAAGAATCACCCACTTCCTTTAAAGAAGGCAGCACTTTAAATTACAGAATGTTTAGCCAAGGTATACACCAAAGACTAATGTGTTTCATTCTGAGTACCAGACCAACACAAGGTAAAGCAAAACTGTGAATTAGAGAGTAAAAGTAATGCTAATAATGTAAATAATAATCGCTTTGTAACGATACATCGATCCAACAGCCGACGATCCGATGCATGGATACGTCCATAAGAGTATCGATTCATATTTTTTTTTCCCCTCCGATCTATTTTTATCCATTTGCTCCTGGACGTTATTCTCTCTCCCATACTTCTGTATGGGGTTATTATGACATTAAAAATATAGAAGCATAAGAGAAAGGCTCAGATCAAAGCATCTACAAGAGAATGAATAACCCAGCCCTAAATCTAATCTGTAAATTAAAAAAACAATTATGCTACGAAATGCCTTACAATTTTGAAAGGAAAGGAAAATATTTTTTCAGGTTCCAGATGGATAAAACTGGTAAAGACCTACCAAGAAAGTGTGCAGCTATTAGTTCAGTGAAATATGATTGTGTTCATCTTTTTTTGTTCCAAAAAGCACTGCTTCATTTTGGTCTATTGCTTGATATCCAAAATAAAATACTTGCAATGTCACAAATACATAAGTAAAAAAAAATAATAATAATCTAGAATTTGGCTGCAAAATCAGGCAGAACAGATAAGATCCATTTGTAGATTTAAAGGAGCTCATATTTGTGAAAAAGCAGAGAGTGGGTGTTTTTACAGTTAACTTTGTTTTTCATCCTCAACATGATAACCACAAGAACAGGGATGAGCCATCCCTGGGCAACCAGACATACAATAATATCCAGAGGCATGTTCGCACACACTAAATAACCACAGACTATGAAAACTCCTCCAAGGAGGGCACACAATGCGTAACAACTCACAAAACAACACGAGCAAGTCAGTTTTTTTATTATATTTCGTCACCTGCCTGCATGAGTGCGCAGCGCTTAGTCCACAATACCACCTACCCGACTGCGCAAACAAAAGAGGCTGTATAAAGGGCCTGGGCGAGCCAAGTTTCCTTCATTCCATGCCCGCCACTCTCCCTGGCAAGACTTCTCAACACACATGCGAGTGATCAGCATCTCTTCATCAGCGCAGGGATGAATAAACAAGCAAGATGAATTACTTTGAAGTACTTTCAGTGTCCTGTCACAACAAGATATAAAACGGGACTTTCTGGCCTTGTTGAGGGGATTAGATCTGGTGTAACGGGTCTAATCTGAGGAGCATGGATCTTAGCAGCTCAGATCGAACTTTTCTCTTAGTTTGGTTGGTGATATTTTACATAAAGTTACTGTCTTCTTGGGGAAGCAAATGTTGGTCTAAAGCTATTTGTTTATGTTTTGTTTTCAGTTAAAGGGCCTGTTTGGTTGCAACCTGTGAAGGAAAATCTGCCTCTCTGCCAAGGCAGAGTATAATCAGATGACGGCTTATAGAAACCAAATTCAACTCATTTTTTCCCCCTGGAGGCAAACAATGCTCTTTTGATGCAGGTTTATTATTGTATTCTCCACAGGGAAAGAGCAGTGGACATTTGACTCCACGCTGTCTGGCTCTTCAGTGGCATGATTACATGTCTACATCGAGATGTGCACTTTTTTTGTTTATCACTATAATTTAGTGAGAAAGATTGAGCATCTGTTTGTGGTTTCAGCTTCCTGAGCTTACATGGATGTCATGAACAGAACGTCTCATTGTAAAAAAAAATGTTTTTTCCTCCCTAAAAGTAAAAACTTAGATACAACGGGTTTGATATCGCCAAAGAGAAAGAAAAAAAAACCTTGTTTGAATTTTTGACATGTCCTACACATCTCCAAATGAAAAATCCATACTTTAATACTTAAAATATCTGATTGCTAAGACTTTTTCAACCAAAATGTAAACAAATATATATGTGGAAAATATAGATTATGAAAATATAATTATATGCAAACATTTTTGTGAACCTCCTTTTTTTAACTGAGACATGTCTCTCCACTATCTGTGGGCCTTAATATCAAAGAAACTATATTCATCAGGTAGCAGGTATTTAAGGCGGTTAGGAGTCTGTTGAACTGGACATAAATTAGTTGATATGCTGATGATAAACCAAGGGCTCTTGAGCCGTTGCATCCTACCAAACAATGCGTCTAACAAGTTTTTCGGGGTTTTCTGCTAAGATTTCCAGTTAAATCAAGAAAAAGACACACAGAAATACCTCTGAAAGTTTCCAGGTCTAATATAAACAATGTGAGAGTAGGGTCAGGTGTGTAAACCTATCATGGACTTAATTTTAAGAAGGTGTGATTAGCGTGAAATACAAGACATCTAAAGTAGTTAAGACCCGGTTCTTATACTCAAAGGCCTTGTTCTTAAAGTGGTGATCTCACTGCATTGGAAGTTCAGTAGCCAAGGAGAGTTTGGGTGTGTGTATGAATGCAGAGGGTGTGTTTGTGCGCGGTATTGTTTGGTGTGCATGTATCACAGTGAGACAGGAGAGAGGGGGAAAAAAAAATAAAAAATAGGAGCGTACTGGGCGGTTTTGAGGGTATGTTCCTCTGTGAGAAAACCTCAGACTCAATGTCGGCAGGGGGAGAAAAAAAGAGGAAAAAGCTTATTTTTTTGTTTCAGCTTAGTGAAAGATAACGAGAGTGAGAGAGCGCAGTGTTTATAAATCACCACCAACCAGTCCTTCGTCTTCCCTCCCCCTCTGGGTTTCCCTTTCTCTATTTGACCAAAAGCTCGACAGATGGATACAAAGAGGGTTAATGATGTTTCTAAGATAGTAATCACTCTAAGGAAAATGTGTACCTTCTAATTAGGGCTGAGAGCAGGGAAGAAAAAAAAAGTCTGTTTAAGCGGTTAATGTGACGGCTTTCCTAAAGAGAGAAATCTTAAAACTATCATTTTCGGGAACCACAATCAACTAAGAAGTACAGCGTGCAACGGATCATTCTACCTCTGCAGCGTAAAACTACTTTCAACATTCAGTGATTTGGGTTTTCCTTTTTCCTTGCTCTCTTGGATTTCAATGCAAATACCATTTTCGAGTCTGATAGATGAAGCCCTTTTAAAAACCAAAATACAAAAAGAAAAATTATAATCCTGTATATTTCCAATCAAACAAAGAATTGTATTTAGGAGCACCTCATTTTGATGCAATTACTTAATGGAAGTAAAAGTTGTTTTTCTGTCAGCATTTGACCTGCTGATTTATGGTCAGTACTAATCTAGGGATTACCATCTTTGGCTGAGTGATTGGTGTGCCTCTGATTAAACTCTAAAACTAAAATAGAAATGATAAAACACTCTATTCAGATCAAAGTGCAGCTTCTTTGAATCTTAGCCGCATCTCCGTTCAAACAAGCTTTATAATAACACAAGCCAGTCAATATAACACAACAAACATCTTTAAGTAGAATCTACCTCACGCAGTCTGACACAGTGACCCATTATCTGTGTTAGGAGCCTGAGGGCGAGAAGCACAATGTCAGGGAATAGGCTTCTCCAACAGGCAGAGGCGGTCTGATCACATGCACATCTCAAGCAGCCACTTTGGTCAGTGGAAGATAACCAGAGCCGCATAACATCTAATTACGATAAGCCTACCAGGCTGGTTGCGAGCTCCCCATTTCTAACAATTAAAAGTCAAATTTACATAAGGGCAGTGATTTTGTCTGCTATATGCAAGTAGAGAATATGGAGGAAGAGCAACCAGGTGGTTGTAGGAAACAGTTGATGTGCAGGTGCAGAGCTGCTCTCATGAAGGAATCCAGGGAGAAAATGTTCATATTTCTATCCTGCTCTTTTTAAATGATCTAAATCAAACCATTATTAAATAATCTCCCTAAACCCAAATTCTAGGTGTTTATTATCCATCACAGGTGAAGTTAGAGTGATTTATTCAAACATGAAGGCCCAGACAATTAAAGGGGCGTCGCTGGGGGTCTGTCACTGCCGTTCATCCTCCGCAGTGACCGCACTATCTGCCCACAGCCGCGCTTCAGAAAAAAACCAACAACAAATGAATGCGGGCGGAGAATACTGGAGCAAATCCCACACTTACTTTGTAGAAAATCATCTTTAAAGTGCCGTAGAACCCCATCCTTGTAATCCTTTTTTTCTCCCTCCTCAGTGACAGTCGGTGAAGTCCAAATGCTTGGAGGGGAGCTAACTCTCAGGTAGATCCGCCTCAGATGCGAACATGCTCGGGCGCGTCACCGGGCTGGCTAGCTGGCATTAGACCCCCACGGAGAGGACATCCGGAGGAAAAAAACGATCCGACGCGCGGCTTCGACTGAACGGGGAGGAGAGGAAAATGGATGGGCGAACAATGATGATCCCGGAGGCTCGCGCGCTGCGACCGAGCAGCATCTCCGTTAAGGGGAGTGAACAGATGAGAGAGAGAGAGAGAGAGAGAGAGAGAGAGAGAGAGAGAGAGAGAGAGAGAGAGAGAGAGAGAGAGAGAGAGAGAGAGAGAGAGAGAGAGAGAGAGAGAGAGAGAGGAGGAGGGTGACACTCTGTAGGGGGAGAAAAGGGGAAGAGAGGAGGGGGGGAGGACGGAGGAAAGCGTCAGAGCGCAAAGCAGTGCCCCTCTTCCTCCTCCTCACAGCCTGCACGACGGCTTTCTCCGACTCGGCTTGGATTGTAGCCTCCCCGGTGGAGATGGAGGGAATGGTGCAGTCCTGTGTTTCAGCAGCGGCGCGTGCGGCGCATCCTCTGCTGACCGGGGGGGGTGGATGGAGGGGGAGGGGGAGGGGGGTGGACTTCACTTGTTGCAATCATCATCATGCATATAATGCAACGCTGCCTTATATGATCCGCTTAAAGCATTCTAGATGCAGCGGACCAATTCAACGCATGCACGCATTTAGACCTGC